TGTGTGTGTGTGTGTATATATATATATATATATATAATTAAATTGATGTAATACATAAATCAGGGGTGCAGAACTCAGTTCCTGGAGGGCCTCAGCCCTGCAGAGTTTAGCTTCAACTCTAATCAAATCATTTGAAAGGCTTGAAGGCTTATTTAAAAACTGTGTTGGAGCAGGGTTGGAAATAAACTCTGCAGGGCTGTGACCCACCAGGAACTGATTTCTGCACCCCTGACATAAATATAACATTTGATCATTTACCTCAGATCATGTACCTTGGAGCTGCTACAGATAACAAAGCATCAACTGCCCTTGGATTTTTCCATCAGTCAGTGGAGAGACATGGATTTCCATTAAGGTAAAACAGTTTGTACTTTCTAGCATTTTTTGTTTGAATAGATCAGTGCTTCTCAAACCTGTCCTACGGACCTCCCTCCCCCCACTGCACAATTTGTATGTTTCCCTCATCAGACACACCCAATTCAGGTCTTGCAGTCTCTATTAATGAGTTGAATCAGGTGTGTCTGATGGGAGGGGAGGTTTGTGAAACACTTAATTACAAAAATATAATTTTGTTTGTCCATCTTGTGTAAAAATAGTAAAAAAGAAAAAAAAAAAATTCAGACAGACAAATAGAACAAATAGAACATTATGAGGGTGAATTTTCACTATACTTCCATTTTTTTCATACATTGTTCTTTTCTAAAACAGCTTTGCTCTTTTTAATTACTTCTGCATTTAGAGTTCGAGGAGACCAAGGAGTAGAAAATGTGGAGATCGCTAGATGCATGTTTTCTGTGCGAGGCTACGGAAGGGGAAGTTTCATATCAGGAAAAAGCGTGCATAACCAGCGGTAAGCATCAAGATTAATTAAATATTCATACCCCGAGCTAAACATATGAACATTCTATTTGTAAGGATAACGGTGTACTCAACATTTCTGCAATAAGGTGCTGTTAATCAAATGATTACACACTGTTTTGTCTGCATTTCTCAGTATTGAACGTCTTTGGCGCGACATATGGATGGCTGTAACCAACATCTTCTATGATGTTTTACACACTCTCGAGGAGGAAGGGTTACTAGATCCAGCCAACAAGCCTCCACATGTTTTGTTGTCATTATGTGTTCCTGCCGCGCCTCCAGGCCAGCCTTGATTCCTTTACTTGTGGATAGAATAACCATCCTCTCCGCACAGAGGGCAATCGAAGCCCCAACCAAATGTGGGAAATCGGGCTGATTCAAAACCCTGTCGATCCTCCAGAAACTGAGGTATTTACTATAATTTGACTGAATTTGTTCTGTGCCAGAACATGTATTTATATTTTCACCTAATGTATTGCAGCAATAAAATATACCATGTCCATAACCTATAACCAATTTTTCACAGAATCCTCAAGATGAAGACTCTGACCGGGACATGACCAGAATCCCTGACCAGCCGTCTGGAGGAATTGTAGTTCCTCCAGTAGATTGCAAATTAACTGAGGAACTGAATGCCCAGCTGCAAGCTGTTGTTGACCCAACCTCACAATCTCAAAACTTTGGCAGGGACAAATATTTAGTGGCGTTACATTTTGTGATCCTTCATTCTTAAATGACAGTGAAATGTTTACAATGTATTCCCAACATATTCAGAACAAAACCAGATATAGTACAAAATGAAACTTTTGATAAACCTTTAATAAAATAAAGTTATTGTTTTGAATGTTTTCTTTCTACAGTAAACAGAACAGTAAGTATTAACAGTAATATTTAACAATTAATTGCAAGATTCTAAAATCACTGTATATACAGAACATGTATTTTCTATGGAATCAGAATAAAAAGAAAAACAGATTAGTCAAATAGTGCATTCTTAAGTGTGTTTACCTGTATTGATTAAAAATACTCTACCATTGGATGTCTGGGCTTTGGTTGTGGTGTTCAGGGGAGCCACATGTAGGACTGTTCGCATCAAATGACTGCACTGAGAATTTCACCAAAGGTTATATTCTAGTTCTCACTACACTAAACTTGTTTTTACTCAGTAACCTCAGGACAAATGGTTGGCAAAGAAATATTTTTAAAAATCATAAAATATTACCTATCGCCACATATACTTGCATGAATGAGCAACTGTCTGTGTGTAAATATCTCTAAACAAATGGGACACTGTCCTTCATCCTACAACATCAAGAAAAGACAAATGATGAAATATGACATGGAAAGTGAACAGATTCATAAGGAAAAAACATGTTTATATGAGCATGAGTACGTCTGTAATCCACATCCCAAGATCACATGCAAGTTACCTGGATTATAAAATTTTATAAGCACAATTTAGCTTGATTTTTTCTGGATATTACACCTTCACAGAAAATCAGCAAACAAATTAAAAAATAATTACACTAACTGCACTGGTACTTAAGCATATCTCATAATTTACAGCACAGCTTTTCACAATACATATTCATATCACCTCATAACTTGTGGTGGGTGTAGGAGAACAGGCTCGCAGAAGAGTGGTAGGTGTAGGGCTAGAAGTAGGGTTTGGGGTGGCAGTGGTCTCAGTACTGGCTGTCACAGCAACTATTTTTACTTCATCATCATCAGTAATCTGAAATAACAAAACTGGGTATATGTGCAACCTAATACCAAAGTTCATTGAAATGTAGACAGTTACAATTGTGCGCTATTGTTAAAATCAGGGGTCACCAGACACGGTCCTGGGGGCTGTTTCATAAAACAAGTTTATCAAATAAGACTATAATAAGTTTATTTCAGTTAGTCTGACTTATTGTCACTTGATTTGGTACAAAATAAGTCAGACTAACTGAAATAAGCCTGGACTATTTGGTAAACTTTTTTTATGAAACAGCCTCCTGGAGGGCTGGTGTCCTGCAGAGTTTAGCTCCAACCCTGATTAAACAAACCTGAACAAGCTAATCAAGCTCATACAAGGTATACTTGAAACTTCCAGGCAGGTGTGTTGAGGCAAGTTGGAGCTAAACTCTGCAGGACACCGGCCCTCCAGGATCAAGTTTGGTGACCCCTGGTTTAAATCTGTGGTTCCCAAACCTGTCCTGGAGGCCCCCCTGCCCTGCACCTTTTGTATGTCTCCCTTATCTAATACACCTGATTCAACTCATCAGCTTGTTAGTAGAGACTGCAAGAACTAAATTGGGGGTGTCTGATTAGGGAGACCAACAAATGTGCAGAGCAGGGGGGCCTCCAGGACAGGTTTGGGAACCACTGGTATAAATAACATACCTCATCATCATCAGCTGATTGTGTTCCACCACAGGACTTGACATGCATGTATAAAACTGGTAATGGTATGGTTGTTTGACATGTCCGACACTCCACCTTTGGCATCTTGACAAACTCCTCTGCTGAGAATGGAAGTGGATCAAGACACAACTCATCTTGAAGAGGGACCATGTAGAGTGCTGTTCTTCCACTGGTTGTTGCCATTTTGATAAGGCTGCCAGTGTAGCCCTCTGAGTCTGGAGGGACAACAGTAAGCCTTCTCCTTCCATTACCACCTGCCAATTCAAATATACATTACAACACATCAAACCATAGTGGGCCTTTACAATATAATTAGGCTTTTATCTGTTGAAGCTAAAAAAAAATTATTAGTAAGTTTAATCCATACTGTAATATCACTTCCTTGTGCAATACTATAAAATAATAACTTCTTTTAACAGGGTATGTACACATGTGAATGCTTTGGGATGCCAAGAGAATGTGCAATTGTAACCCTGTGTAAGACCACTCAAATATGACTTGTACAGTTTGCACTAAAACAGTTGTGTTTTAGCTCTTCACATGCTTGTGTCTGCTCTGGTATTTAATATAGTGCACCTGGTGTCAGGGATTCATGACAGTCACTGCAGTCACCAGCCAGGATAATCACCCGATCACAGTCACCTGAATTCTGATCACCCGCACCTGCTGTCACCAATCAAGCCACACTACAAATACACACACATCACAGTCACTCACTGTCCGGTCTACCGTTCACTCCTATGGACTCTATACGATATTCTCCGAGAAAGACTTCCCTTCGGATTCTCCTGCGATCCTCCAACGCCTCCTTGGAAGCTGTTCCACGATCTCCCACGAAACCGGCATCAGATACTCACCCTAAGAACTCCGATAAGAACCCTGGAATCATTCACTCTGTTGACATTCACCTGCCTTAACCTAACCCGTTCCACTCCTCCACATCCTGTATCAATAAACCATCCTGTCTTTCACTTACCCGTTGTGTCTGGCCTTGCTTTATGACACCTGGTGCCTTATAAAGCAGCCACCCTCCAGCGAGTGATCTCATTTTGGGAAATTCAGCTTCAAGTAGCTTGCATAACTACAGAAAACGTGAAACAGAACAAGGGTTTGCAAACAAGAGCACAAAATTTAAAGCACACACAGTAATGGTAATGTAAATCCATACAAAATATGATTATGAAATATTGAATTGGGATTGTTTCAGACAATTAGTCTTTCCATACTCCAAATTCTTAACCCTGGGCCACTCATAAACAATGGAAATCAGGGTTTGCGCTGTATATTCACAAAACATCTATTAATACTGTTGCTAGCAAATATAGCTTGTGGTGAACACAAAAAGAGGTTAGTAACTGCATATCAATGGAACAGCTCATCTATGGAAATGCTGCATTTTACTTTTCACTTTTCCCCAGATTATGTGTATATGCATGACTTTCCATATGCATAGGATTGTTCAAAGTACATAAGCAATTAAGAAAGCAGGTATTGAGCTTTACTTGACTGTTTAACAACTTGTTGGGGTTGGGTGACCTTACATCGACATGGCCACAAAGTTGTACAAATGTTTTGCAATACTACTAAAAATTGTACTTCAGAATGGTTCATGTTCGAAACCGTAATGGTACGTTTTCCCAGCCCTGCCTGGATTAACTCCAGCTCATCGGAAGGAGAGGGTGAGGTTTCAGTGATTTTGTTTAAAAGACAAATATTAATTGTAAATGGCTTCCATGCTGTTGCTTTAGATTGTATTGGCGTGTTTGCAGTTTTCTTTTTCTTCTTAAACATTCCAGGAAATGCTCTATAATACAATAAGAGTGTTAATGTTAAATGTGCAAAAGAAAGACCAATAGAACAGTTTAATCGTTAGGTGAGGGTGCTGATAACCTGGTCATATCTTGATCTATTCTTGGTGAACAAACAGCAGTTGAAGGCTGCTGTTGTTGCTGCTGCTGACCCTGACCTGGCTGTATCTGACCAAGGCTTTGGGTCAGAATGTTAATTAAATTCTGTGCTGCTGCAGTAACATCTTGGTTCTCTCTCTGCTAAACGTGTAATGGCAAAATAATTATATCAGATTACCAAAATCATCGTACATTAACAGTGGGCATAAACTTAACAGCTGTCTAAACGCAGAATTATGAAAAAAGGTGTGCACTTGAAATCAGTTTACTTTTTTATCCATTTACAGTCTGCTTAAAGAGACAAAATATAATATATTTTACGTACTTTGTAGTGGAAGAATATCATAATCAAAAGTAAATAATCCATTAACAGTATAAAAGCGTGCATATTGAGATAAAGGACTAGCAGATGCTAACTTTTTCCAACACGTTCACGTGCGCGAGTAAATGATCTCTAACTTCTTAAACTTTGGCAAACGACGTTAATAGTAATCGCATGTAGTTAACTAAACAACACGCATTTTAAAGCTCACGCTTGACTGAAACGCAAAATAAATGGAGCATTGCAAATGAATTAGTAGGTGTGAGCATGGAAAATATGTGTTGCAGAGATAAAATAGAATCACAGTTCATAAGCTTCTTTTACAACTGTCATTGATTTTTGCAATGAATTATATCTTAATTTTTGCAATTCTTTATTTTTGTTTGCAAAACTTATTTTTTTTGCATATATATGTGGCATTATATTGACTCCATAAAGCTTGTTGTAGTCCCTACCAGTCGTTTTGGTAGGCATTAAACTGCCAGAATTTTAAAAGACCATATCTCCGTTTGCATTGAACTCTCAGCGCTGCAACTTTGCAGATATTGTTTATGCTCAAACAGCAACATTACACACTAACTAACGTTAAAAAAGTGAAATCGCAATCAACCACCCCTTTAATACTGAGAAAGAAGCTCTTCACATTAAAGACAACAAAAACATATCAACAACAATAAAACAAAGCAGCCTTTGAAAACATGCCTAAAAGAGCAGGTACGTTTGAAATTTCTTCACAACAGCTTATCCCTTTTAAAAAAGACTTAACTGTATTGAATGTACTTCAGTTTTTAAAAGTATATTTTTAAACACTGGACTTGCAGAAAATATAAATGAAAGAAAAGGCCACTTAAGTGTATTTAAAGAGAGTTTACTGTCATGACTATGTTTTTTAACACACTCAAGGACACTTAAAAACTGCACCTTGTAATAATGTCAAATGAAACATTTTACATAATTTGTTTTCATATGATATAATAATCTTTTGTAATGTTTTAAAGAAGTATACTCATTTTGATGTGCTAACTAACATACTAAAGCACTTGATTTATTTTTTAACTGTAGTGTTATTTAATATTACATTTAAAATTAAATTACAACTTAATCATTACAAATGTGTAAT